GTTTTAATCAAAGAAAATATTGGAAAGAAAACTTTCAAACGAGACTAAAGTATTTACCTAATAGCGCGTATCTTGCTTTACTGTATTTGAAATTGTTCTAGCCAAAATTAGTGCCGGATTACTGATTGCCGGACTAGTGATGGTCAACCTCTATTTATAATATTCGAAGTACAAATACATTCAAATTAGATGTATATGTAGTTTGAATATATTTGTATTTTGAATATTATATGTGATCATGTCTCACTCTTAGAGGTGAAATATTGTACTGAAAACATAAGTGTAATATTCCTACCAAAAGCTATTTAAAGAATGCTAGATATATTCAGTAAATAAGTGGACACTTCTTAAAATGAAACTAGAGAAAAGCTTGTAGCAAGTTACTGGTTTTCATAACACGTGTTAATAGCAGGTCTTGAAACATTTATATCCATATATGAAATGTACAAATCTCTGACCGTGAGTCGGAATTTTATATTTTCTGCTAAGCCTGACTATCTTATGGAAGATCTTACTTTTTTTATACCAATTTTTGAATTGCTACATTGTTTTCCATCATTGATAAGTTTTGTTCATTTCACAAAATGTAGTTATATAGATTATAGCAGATATTATGAGTGGTTGAAGTGAGACAAAGACAGTAAAGACGAAGCTCGCTGCACAATGTGTATAAAGTCCTTCAAATTTGTAACAATAGATGTAAAGACACTTGATTCACACATGTGTTATGAGAAGAAAAAAGGATTCTGATAGTTGCTTGAAAGCGACAATTATGTCCAGTAAAACTGTGTTTGTAAATGATCCTGCTAGGAGAACATGTGCCCATAATTTTGTTTGAGAGCAAAGCCAAACTAGGCTATCTGCTGTGTCCACTGCCATGAATCAAACCCTAGATTTCAGTGTTGCAATTCTGTAAACTTACCACTGTCCCACTGGGATAAACATGTAAAAAAAAGTATTTACTCTAAAAAACTTTCTAGGGATTAATATATATTTTTGATATGTTTGGAAAATGGATTAGTTAGTTTTTCACGAGAGTTCTAACATAAGATTGAAGGATTTGCCATAGGTCTCAAAAACACAGAAATCAATCTGAAAAACCAGACTATTTAGACTCTAAACTCCAACAAAAAATTTTATATACAAATGTATGCATGATGTATACACACACACATATAATTTTATTTCTATTATTTTGTTTTTCTGTAATAGAGATTTGGTGCATATGTAGAACGATATGGAGAAGAATAACAAAATGTGTTGTGTTAGTTGATGAGAAAACCACATCAGTGTTGAACACATTGGTATTCATTGTAACTGTATTAAAAATTGAATAAAAAACTTATAGTGTTTGAATGATTATTTATTATTCATTATATTTTAGTCAATTTACTCAGAAATTAGTTCTATAAATTTGGTGTTAAATGATCTTTAAACGATCATTTTATAGTAGCGGAAACCACGATGATAGGTGATGTAGTTTTTTCCTTCAACATTTATTACTGTTCTAGAATACATCTGATTTCTAGAATAGAATGTCCGGATTCCAATAGTTTTTATATTTCAAACAGACAGCTTTTGACTTGTTTGTGGAAACATTAATAAATCTCCATCTCGTGTTTTGAATCGTTCTTTTGAAAATCCTCAATAGAGAAATTGACAGAAACAGACAAAAAATAAAAGAAGCTCCGTTAATAAACAAATCTCTGTTCTTATATTCATAACATACAAAGGTGTTCATTTATATTTAACTTGAGCATTCTTTCATGTATATAAGACAAATTTCCATACTTAGCCTCAGGCCTTAGATCGTTATTTTTATATACTTGTATACTCTATCAATTATACAACTACTAAGTCACATGCTTTGTATATTAACATTGTTATGGATACTCACATGATTTCTTTATGTTAAATTAATTTCTGTTAGCCTCGGTTCTTATGTTAAACCTGATGAAACGTTGTAAAAATAATGTTTTTTTTACTCTGTACATCTGATAAAGACTTGTCTGAACTTTAGAGATATGTTTTTGTCAAAGTTAGTATTATTTAGAAGACCCGTAGCTCTAACAACGTAGAGCCCCCCAGTGGCACAGCGACGTGTCTGTGGACTTGCAACGCTAGAATCCGGGTTTCGATACCCGTGTTGGGCAGAGCATAGATAGCCCATTGTGTAGCTTTGTGCTTAATTACAAACAAACTAACAATGTAGACTTGTTACAGAATCGATTTTTCATTTTTAAAAGTTAGAATTCTTTTGAAAAAGTAAATATTCCATTTTGCAAACATAACAAAAATGTATATTAATCCCCAGAAACGTTTTACAGTAAATAGTTTTTTTTACTTGTTTGATACCTATTCACATTAATATAATATAAAAAACAAATAAAAAATAATTTTTTTTAGGAAATGTATGTTTTATAGTAGTCTCTAAAATGGCATTATGAAATATTCTTTATAATTTTGTAATTGAAAAAACTGGTTTACGCACGAGCATGAATGCTTCTTTTTCATACTTTCTTTGCATTGAGAGTTAAGTTATCTTAGGGAAAATATTAAATTAGATTATTAAATGAACTTGTGAACATTCTGTACATATCTAGATGTTAATTGCTTTTATATGTTTTGCCATTAGTCTTTCCGTACTTAGAAGAAAGATGTTAAGAAAGTGGCAGTAATTGTTTCATTTTAGGTTGGAGATGCTGGCCAAACTGAAGAGGTAGAAGATGAGAATAAAAGTTTGATTTGGAGTCTAGTCAAACAGGTTAACCATTTATATTTTGTTTTTTTAAGCTTTTAAATTTCTTTAAGTATGTTCTTCGAATTTATGTTCTTAGGTAGTCATGTTATTTATACATCACTGTTATAATAACTTTTATGTTCATAACTTGTAAGTAATACATTATACAGTATAGGATGTCCATTCCCAGTTATTACTGGTATATTTAGGCCATCGTTGGCATTTTCCGGAATTGCAGGAGTTTCCGGAGAAGAATCATCAGGTTTTTTGTGCTGGGGCAAGAGTTGATCATCATCAGATGTGATGAAAGGACTAAGCATATTGTAATTCTGTTGGTTGATCAAGGCGACCCGAGAAAGCGTGTCTATCCCATCCATAATCATGCTTTTTGCATGTCTTCGAAATTTTTGCAAAGACTCAAGAAGATAGTATCACATACAGTATATTCAGTATCACATTCTGATGTTTACTTACAGTATCTTCAGTATCACATACAATAGACATAGATTTTGTCGACTTTGATAACGGTGTTTTTAGTCCTTCTAACACTAGATTTTTTCGACTTTGATAACTTTGCTGACGTAGCAGTACTTGGCGAAAGGAAGTTTAAGAAATGATGATTGTCCGTGACATAGTTTATGTAGATCTATTACAATAAGGTACATTCGACACTACGTCGTTATTGCTTTCGTTATAAGGAAAAGAATTGTTTGACACTTTTGCCCTTGTACACAGTTGTTTCATACAGTGGCATGATAAGCTGTTTGAAGTACAGATTATTTTTTTAAACTTTGTTCCCTTAAGTAAAACTTTGTTTAATTTTTTTGCTCATGAATGTGATTTTCCATTAATGGAACTTATAACATTTTCTTTTTATGCTGTTTATTGTTGGTTATTATCAAAAAAAGCATGTAGTTTAACTTAAATAATTATTTTATTTTCATCAGTTATTAAAACAAAATCACTAATTTTATACACTTCAAAATGTGATAAAAATTGAAGCATTCTGTTACGTGTAATGTGGTTTACAGGCAGTGATGAAAATAGGGGATGTACACAGGTACTTAGTTCTCAGTTTGCATTTTATCCCCGTTGGTAAAATTTAGTACCACTGAAGATGTTTATTAACCCTATCGTCACAGGACAAAGGCCATGTCATCGCGTTTGTTGACTTCCATTCAGAATTTTATTTTATGAATTTATGTCAATAAGTTTGGCATGAAATTGTAGACTATAATTCAAATTTTATTGTTATACATTAGGTAATTTCTTAATTTAAAAGTAGATATTATAAAAACTTATCTAAATATTTATTTTTTGTGTCACGTGGTGTGTTGAATGCAGCATTGGTTCAAATTAAATGTTTGTGATGTCCAAATACAAAGTCTATAGTTTCTTA